ATTTTGCAAAAGAACTATTAAAAACCCACATACAATTAAAAGCCCTTCTCTCCCCCCAATATCGCCAGAACCAAAACAAGGAGTTCAGTGCTATATAGTTTACGAGACTCAACTGTTGTAGAAGTGAAAAGTTTAAGGCAAGCCTCTGAGAAACATGATAGGCCGATCCATGAATAAAGGGGGAGGACAAATCTTTAAGAACATCCAACCAGATCCCTCTTCAGGGAATCAATATTCCGCTTGAGGTCTGTGCTTAATCTATATTTACATTACCAATGCGTTGTAGGATATTCCCTCCTATTTTTTTATATTTAAGATATTCTGAAACACTTTGGGCAAGTCTAAGGCTCTTCAATTTCAAATTTTGGAATTCCATGGAATGGGATGCCCCAAAGATGCTTTTTTTCGAAAGGCAATTGGACTTTGTTTTTCTTTCAACGTGTTTTGCTTCTCCTCCAAGTAGCTCCTTCAGTTCAAGTCAGAATTGAGGAAGCTTCTTGGATGGGAGTGAAATGTCTTCAAGGAAAAAACAAAGTCCCATTGCCCTTTGGAAAAAAAGCACATCTGGGACAACCATGACCTGGATGACTGAGGATTTTCACAGACAATGGAATGTAATCACAACTCATCTTAACCAGGGTAAATGGATACTTACATTTTTGCTAGATGAGTAACAAGGGCGCAAAATCTTTTGACATTGACACATTTATCTCAATCTAAAGAAAAAAATGAGATCCCTTTGCAAACAATAATTACATTGTGATTCAGGTGTACACTAGGCAGGGTATGTTCGTGAACTCCCCCCCCCCTCCAATATACACACATCTGCAAAGATTTTGGGAGAAGACAAAACAGTTGAGTTGGTGGACATAACTAGAAACCTAAATTAGTTGAACAGCTGTTTCTTCTCCCCAAGGGAATTTGGGAAACATAGCTGTTTGTGTCGAGAACTGTAACTTCTTACTGACATTTCTCATTATCCTTGCCAAACTACAATTCCTAGGATTCTTAAACAGCTCACATACAAACACAAATACACATGCCATATTTATAGGAGGAAGACGGTCGCCTTCCACTGTCTGTCATTTGCTTTCCTTAGAGACGCAGATATTGTACACCATAGAATTAAATGGATTTAGTCATCCCCTTTCTCTAAATAATGAGAGCGATGGATTTCATAATGTCTCTTTACCCTATCGACTCTGGAATCGTTTAGAGAAAGCCTTGGCAGGATAATAAAAAATTTAAAATGGACAAAAGCTTGTGGTGTAATCAGAACCAGAAACTGACCTGACAATAAGAGGAAGTATGAATTTTTATGAGCTGGCGGGAGCCAATACATCTATCTGGAAGATTAGTTAGGCCTCAGAATCTTTGACATTGTTCTCCAGCATCTGAAGCTTAGAGCCTCAGAACAGCCATGCAAGAACAGGTCCACCAGTAACTGGTTCCACAGCCCCATATTCCCATAAATATTCAGTGACTCATACTTCCTTTGAGTGTGGAAGTGTGTCACAACCAGCATGACACATAGAGACAGACCATGATTGATTATTCCCCATGAGCCAATTGAAAAACCAAGTAATAGTGACCAAGACCAGCTGCAAATTTGACAAGTGGCGTCTAAATAGAAAAAAAAGCTCTGAAATGAGTTTCGAAAAGCAAAAACTGTTACACAACCTAACTTTCCTATTTAGTGACATTTAAAATTTTTACAGCGGACAGATAGTACTTTCCGGAATTTCTCATCTCTAGAGACGCACTGGAATTACTAACATAATCAAGTTCCTATCCATACCAAAAAAAAACCCATATATTATGGTCTTATGCCAGGTTAGCTTGGCAAAAGCAATGGGGGCAGAGAAAACAAGATCAGTGAACTCCAGTCTGCACCAATATCAATCTTGCTTGAGTACATGCCATAGCCCTGCTTTTTTGAGTAAAATCAGACAGTCGACTTTTAAAAAGTTAGCTGAATTGTCTGAAAACGATAATTAAATTGATAAAATTTGAACCAAAAAACCGTCTTAAATGTAACAGGGTTGATATTTTCAATATGAATGCTTTCACATTTAAAGTGTGTGTTGGAAGTATGAGAAATTTCTGGTTTGTTTTAATCTGTTAATTTTAAAATTAACAGGTTACTTTTAGAACCCTTCAGAACTTTTTGATCTAAATTCTATACAAAGGTCTAGAAATAACAGCAGTCAAGCACCTTGGGATTACAGTAACACTAGAGAAGAAGAACAACGAAACAATTATGTCCAATCCAGAAGTTTACCTCTCTATACTCTACACTATTGGCCCATGAATCTTCATAATCCTTCTTCCTACCATCTCAAGGTCAGGAGAAGCCCTCCCATAAAAGGTCTAATTTTGCTCCTCTAAAAAGTATCTTATGGTTTCTATGGAGCCATTTCAACAGGTTTGGATATGACCTCATAGAACGTAAGTCCCTGTTCCCTTTGTTCGTGGGTTTTGTGAGTATAACACAGGTTTTTTTTTTAACTTGTAAACATTCTTGAAGGAAAGGGAGGAATGGTCCTATTTTTTTGTAAATAGAAATCCTATTCAAACATAGAACAAAAAAACTCATATCAGAAGCACCATTTCGAGGGGGAAACCCTAGTTCCTCTCTTTGCTACATGCGGCTGAAAAGAAGCCCATGATTATTTTTGGAGAAGGCATGAAAAATCTGGAGGAAGAATTCAAAGTCCTAGAAGTTCTAGGAGAAATTGCCTTTCATCAAGATACACATTTGAAACCAGAGAAGACTTTGGCTTTTATTTCTCCTCCAGACTTCAAAGGTGCATTTTGGGAGGGTGGGGAATTCTCAACTACTATTATAAAATCCACAAATATGAAACTCAACTTGTGGAAGGAAGTGGAAAAACAAGCGGTGATGGGTGGTAGCTATCGAGACTCAAGGTTCCATTGAAAAAAAAAATCCAGGACCAAAATATTAAGAGATGAAAACTCCCTGAGGCCAAAGTTCTTCCATCCTAGGACCTGTTAGAGTTCTCTAATACTCCATTGTGGTGGGTTTCTCCTGAAGGTTTCATAGGGCATCTGCAGCTCAAAGCTCCCATGCATTTTACCCCAGAATATAAATCCCCTTGGAAGGCTTGGAGAGCACCTGTAAAAGAATGATCACTGACACATATCTGTTCTCTTTCGCACAACGCTATGGAAATTGGACTGTCTTCCAGAGCATTGTCAACATCTGTTTTCACATGCAGATATTAGGAATGGCATGTTGTTTGCGTATTAATTTGTTCCTACACTGCCAAAGGCTAGTCTAATGATTGCTATAAGACATTCCAGCATCTACCTAAGAATATTGTCTAGTGTTCACAAAGAAAGATGTACAAACTGCATCCTAAACCAACAACCCTAAGATTACAAAATCAAGGACGTTGACTCTGGATAGTGTTTTACTTCACATATCATTTGTCCTGCCCAGCTTTGCCTTAGGACTGCATTCCCACCTGATCTATCTTATGGGATGGTATGGACCAAATACTACCCTCTAAGCTATTTATATCATTCAGGAATATTCTGCTTTTCATGAGATGGGAACTATATTTTCTTACATACCTCCAGGTCGAAAAACAACAGCTATTCCAACAATTCCATTTTAGTTTATAGAATTTATACAGAAAACATTAAGGTGCAATATCACCATGATAGGTTTTCAGCACCACAGAAAGAGGATGCCTCTATATTACAGATAAGATTGTTGTTCAATCTAACAGAATAACAGAGTTGGAAGGGACCTTGGAGGTCTTCTAGTCTAACCCCCTGCTCATGCAGGAAGCCATATACCATTTCAGACAAATGGTTATCCTATCTTTTCTTTAAACGCTCCAGTGTTGGAGCAGCCACAACTTATGGAGGCAAATCATTCCACTAATTAATTGTTCTAACTCTCAGGAAATTTCTCCTTAGTTCTAGGTTGGTTCTCTCCTTGATTAGTTGGGCATGAGTTACAACTATACTTTCTCCTTTACTTTCTGATCATGTTCAAGCCCTCCAGGAGAATCATCCTGGGAGCCTTTAAGTTCATCTCCTTTTCATTTTTTTTCCCATACCAAGTACAAAGCTAGCCTGGCCTGGATCCAAAATCCAACATTCAGGTGTTCAACATGTATTTTGCAGATGTACTATGGAGTGGAGAATTCTAACCTGAAACAGTGGCCCCTGTAAGATATGTGGGCTTAACTAATGAAAGCAGGGAAGAAAAGTCAAAAGATGCATTCCTGTTCACTAAGGAACAGAAAAATAAGATGCAGCTCCACCTTACCCGACATGGTAGTTCTCTTGGCACGAACCATGAGAAGCAGGCAAAACTTCAGAGGCAGTTTGGTCCAGCACCATTAAAATGTACATTGCTCATAAATGTTAATTGGTAACTACCAATCAGTGACTGGCTATTAGTCCTGCATGGAAGTATGAACCCCAAGTGTGTCTAGAGACCTGCAATCCCACCAGAGCTAGGATATCACTTTCTTAGGGATACCATGTTATACTCATGGAAATCTTACAATTCTTGCATTCTAGGTTCAATGCCACTTCCTTATGGTCCACTATAACCCGAGGAGTTGAAGGAGGTGGTTGGTCCTAAAAGTCCCTTTTATATTTTAGATCTTTTTTATTATTTTGGAAAGGATTTAGAGCCATGGCTCTAAGGAATCACCTTCCAAGTCTTTGGTCCATCTCAAGATAGTGCTGCTTTTCAGTTCTGGCCTTGCCTTCTCCATCATACATGGCTGAATGGTGATAACTTCTAGGAGGTTTGGGCAATTCCGAGGTAGTTGTTTACTTCTGCTTTACCACTAAGTGACTGGATGGTCAAAACCTCTATAAAGCCCCCTTCTTATTGGTACTCTTCTTCTCCCCTCTTAGAATGTTCTTGGTCAAAATGCACTATGTAGCGGACCTCCTGCTGGATCCCACTCCCCCCCCCCCCCCCCCCCCCCCCCCCCCCCCCCCCTCCAGAGGCTATTTTTACACTTTCAGCCACTTGATCACCGAGAGTCAGAAAGTAGCACATTTGACTTTGGTCAGTTGTGGAGACAGCCTGGTCAGCAAGGTCTCAGGGTGCAAAAGTCCAACTCCTGTGGTTTCTTCCTGAGGTTGCAGCGTTCGCGGGGCAGCAGGATGCCACCCCGCCCTGTGCATCTCAGTATGCGCCTTTTAAACCCCCTGCCACAAGTTTTGGAGCATGAGGACCAGGGAGATGCCTCCCAAGTTGGGCAAGGATCTCCACATATCCTGATGTCAACAGGCCTCTGAGTGGCATCGCAAGAGGAGGCCAGCTGGCCAAGGACATCACGACAGAGCACCATGCGTTTCTGAAGACCGTTGCCACAAGTGACTGAACAGTCTTCCCAGTTGGTGGTAGCCCATTTGTAAGCGGGGCGTTTGTAATCCAACTGACCCAGGTCCAGGCGGTTGGAGAGGCTGAGAATGCTGTTGTTGAGGACTGGAGGACGCTTCCCATCTTTACGGTGGTAGGAAGACTTGTCCTCTTTGCTTTCTTTGGGCAAGTAGAAGGAGTAGCGTACTCGAGGTGGTGTCATCTTCCCAACTGATAGCACTTCCACCGTCAGGGGTTCCTGGATGGGCATAAAGGCTTGGAGGCTTTCCACTGCTGTCCCTGTTCCACTATAGCGAATCACACTGCCCTTGACTATTAAGTCCCTTTCCATTGCGGAGACAATGAAATGTCCATTCAGAAGATATTTGCCATATGCATTCTTCAGGGCCAGGTAATTGTCATCACTAATCAGACCCTTGTAGCCTCTCTGACGGATGTCAATGCTGGAGGCACCAGCTGGGAGGAGCACCACAAAGTTGTAGCCATGCCTAGAAGAAAGACAAAAGGTAGAAGAAAGACTAGGCATTAATACAAGTTAGCAAATTCACCTAAGACAGGGGTGTCAAACTCAAGGCCCAGAGGCCAAATCTGGCTCACGGGGTGCTTAGATCTGGCCTGTTGGGCTGCCCTGGAAACAGCGAAGGACCAGCCTGCAATGCCTCTGCCAGCGAAAGCAGAGCTTGTGAGGGCCGCATGCAGCCCTCTCGAGCTCCATTTTCACTGGCTGAGGGTTGAACTTGGGAGCCCATTTTCACTGGCAGAATGCTCAGACCACCACAGGCAGCCCCTGACATGAATGACATCGTGTGACCATGCCCATCCTGGCCACGCCCACCCTGTCCGTCCCCCCCCAAGGTCAAACACAACCCTGATGCAACCCTCAATGAAATCAAGTTCGCACCCCTGACCTAAGAGACACTTGACTTGTGTTGGCCAAAAACAAGAGTTGCAAAGGTAAGACAATGATGCAAAGCAAGTGAACTCATGCCCTGTCCCTATACGGGACCACAAATTTCAGCTGATTTAATAGAGTTAAGCATGGAGAATAGATTTTGAGCTATGGGTTCCTCTAAGTTCCAGCACTCTGGGCAATTTTATTGGGGAATTTTGTAGACACACTCAGTTTCTATCCTAAAAATGATGTGTTTGTTTTTCTCAAATGCCCTGCTTGTTCTCTCAGAAGGGTATGGCACGAGCATAGCCCATTAATTTATGATTCATTATATTGGAAGGACCGAGAAGATGGGTTGATTCAGTCATTCAGTTAAGCATCTGATACAGATCTAGCAAAAAATCGCCTTGTACTGAATCAGGACATTGGTCGAGCTAGATCCATTCAGTCTTCATGCGGGCCTTTCTGTGACTCTACCCAAAGTTCACTCACATGGGTTTGGTGAACAAGCCTGAAACTTTCTTGCAGCTTTTGTTGTCTCCTCCACACACACCACACTTGTCGAATTTCTTTTTGGAGCCAAGTTTCCCATCGCACCCAGCTTTGATACATTTTCCCTGGACACATAGCGAGCTAGAGTCTGGAGAACATGGTGTACCATCCACCACCTGGGAATCAGAAAGATAAAAATAGAACCCAATGCTGCTTTAGACAAATCTAGAAAGGGAGGGATATTGATCCGTATCAATTTGCTTTGGAAATAAATAATCATCGGTCATCCCTCCCCATGGTTTTAGCAACAGAAATGTTATCCTTTACTCTGCCCATGGAATCAAATTGCCCCACTTTTCACTAGAACTTTTGTTGTGTGGTAGTGTTCTGGTTAGCTGGCAGCAGGTGTGGATGGATGAGGAGAGGAGGACTCAGATGAGGGGCCAGGATCATTAGGGAGAGGACTGCTGCCTTCAGAGATTGTGGGGGCTGGCAGCAGCGATGAGGAGGTTCCCGAGGAGCCTGTGCCAAGTGCACATGCGCGCAGGATTGCTCGCAGGAAAGAGCAGCTACAACAGCATGGGCAACTCGGAAGTAAGGCTGCAAGGTAATGGCCCCTCCTTCAAGAAGATAAAAGCTAGCTGTGAAGCAAACATTCTTTGCAGGAAGCAAAGACATTTTGAAACTCAGCCTGGTGGGAATTACAGTATCTTAAATTGGACTCTTGTGTTGTGAAATTTTTCTTATCTGTGATTTTTGGTACTCTTATACAATTTTGGCAAGGTTTGTGCTTATCAAAGTTAATTAGTTTGCAGCAGCCTTTTAACCAGGGATTCGTAAGACTCTTTAAAAGGTTTCTGTTCCCTTTGATTATTGTTTGTCTTATTGGGAAAGGGTTTGGGCCAGAACAGGTTGAATATTCTGCAGTGCTACGCATGATGAGTACCTGTACACATACCTTGATATTTTTAAAAGATATTACTGAGATCTTGGGCACCGTTTGGAAGTGGAACAAGGATGAAGATTCAAAACCACCAAAATGATTCCAAGTAGCATTTTAGCTTCATTGCAACACAGGTAGTTCTTGACCTATGTCCGGTCACTTAACAATTGTTCAAAGTTATGATGGAACCCTGCTCCCCCAAAAAGCTAACTTAACAACCTGTTTTCATAGTCACAAATGCACCCCCCCCCCCAGTCAAACAATAAATTATGGGCACTTGGCAACTGCAAATTGCGATGTTTTTTTGCTGGTTTCCAGCATTTCCTTCCAGTTTCTAGCAAAATATACCACTTAGGAAAATTAAGCGGCTTAACAACCATAGTATTCACTTAAGAAACACTGGGAAAAAAATGTCAAAAAATCGGGTCTGGTCACAACTGCAACAACTTATGATTGCAATTCCAGGTTCAATTATGGTTGTAAGCCAACTGTTTTATCATAGAGCTGTCCATGGCTCCCATTAAAAACCAAGGCTCTGCTTCACATGTAAGCAAGCAAAACATGATTGAAAACATTACACAAATAATTGTGAACAGAAGTGTAGTATTATCATTGAGTACATTTGTAGGTTTAATCATTGAATCCAAATGAAGAACAAGGGAAAGACAATCATTTGTCAATGTTTAATATAAATAAACTATGGAATTGCTCTCTTTCCAGCAAAATCTAAATACCTTTAATCACCCTTCAACAAACTTCCCTTTACAATTTCTCTTGTTCTCTGAATTGAAAGTCTATTAAAATACATTCCTTCCATTTTAAAATATCCTGTGGATGTGCCTCGTTTTTTTTTTCAGCCATATCGCCTTTGTCCTAAGTCTGTGCTACCATCCAACTTTAGCAAAAAATAAATAAATAAATAAAATGAATTAAAAATCCAGCTTACCTTTGGGGCTAAAACATAAAAGTAGCCAGTTCCATTGGCTCGACAGATGAGTTTGCATTTATCCCGGGGAGACACCCCAGAATATTTGGGGACCCAAGAAACAATAGCGGTGAGACGATTTGTGCTATGGTTGTAGCCATTGAAAGCTTCACATTGTTCTTCCCGAAAACTCTTCCCTGGAACTATGAGAAATCAGTTTCAAAAATGGTTTTAGGAGTTGGTTCCTACCATCACAAATAGAGGGATCATCTAGTGAATCTTCATTGCGTGTGTTCATAAATACGAGACAGGAACATACAGGACATGCAGGAAATGCAATACAGCTGAACATTTTCTCTCCATAATGCCCAGATTTTTATCCTGCTTTTATTTTTATAAATAACTTGAGATGGTGAGTTATCTAATACCTCCTTCCTCTTCACATACCTAATACTTACAACGTGCCTAATGCCTCACCTAATATCTCCTTCCTTCTCCTATTGCCCCCACAACAACAACTCTACAAGTGATTTGGGCTGAAAGGGAGTGACTGGCACAAAGTCACCCAGGCGACTTTCATGATTTAAAGTGGGACTAGAACTCACCATC